TTAGAACGTCACCAAGAGCTTCCAAGGCTGTAATAGTTAGGGAAGCAAAATGCAGCATCTGTTGACCTTTGGGTTAGAAGCAAAGTGTTTAACCACCACCCTAAACCTTGTCCTAGAGGAGGATAAAGAGAAGCATACAAAGAGTGGAGCCTTTTCGGTGGAACGGAGAGGAGGTGAGAGGAGGCTTCAAGACACCAGACCCTAGGCCACCAACTCCACAGACGACCTGCCAGGAGCTGCAAAGCCAGCAAGCGCAAGTGGAGGCGGCTTATTTCCTCAGCATCCAGCTGGTTAAAAAGAAATCCACTTATTAGTTTAAGTGAAATCACCCCAGGGCTGGAAATTCACTGTCAGTGAAACAAAATCGTGGAAGGAAAACGAAAGCAGTCTCCATTCACGATGAACTTTATTTTTAAAAGACATCTAGGAGGAAAAGGCCTTACCACTCCACAGGCCCTGCTGCCCGTCACGGCTCTTTAAGTGGCCCTGGGCTGCCATTTCTAGGAGTCAGCACCCTTCAATCTTCCAGTCTCGCCAAGAGAAACAAGCCACGGTGCCTTTTGGAGCCCTGGTTGCACCGTGGTGATTAATTAAACACGTGGCTGCTAATTGGCAGCCGGTGAGGTGTGGGAGAGACATGACGAGATCAGTTTCCACAAGGAGACCGGCAGCTCTGGGAACTCTCTGGGACAGAGTTCTTCTCCATCTTACAGGGTCCTTATGAGTTGGGACTGGCTCGACAGCAGTGAATTTGGTTTCACTGTGTTTGAATCCCCAAGTGCTCCAAATGGCTCACTTCTCAGCTGTAAAGTGAAAGGTAGGAGGTTTGCATCCACCCAGAGATGCCTTGGAAGAAATAAATGCCTGGCAATCTAGTTCCAAAAGGTCAGACAGACCTGATGGGCCATGGCCCTACTTTCAAACACACGGCATGAGTCAGAAGTGACTCCACCAAGACTGTGTGGGTTATTTTTGTTTTTAATCATGGATGGATTTGATCTTGGGTCCTTTAGGACATGCATAGATGTTTCCAATCTCTGGATTCCTGGGTCACAGTGGCATGCACTCCAAACACTCAACCTGTTTGAAGCTCTGGGAGGTGGAAGACCTAGGCTAGCACATTGTTGTTGCTCATTATGTGCCGTCGAGTCGCTTGCGACTCATAGCAACCCTATGTACAACAGCCCTAAACCCTGCTGTCCTGTGCCAATCTCATTGTCTCTGACACACCCACCCCGATTACCGCAGTCACTGAATCAATTCATCCTCCTGCACTGTCCCTCCACTTTCCCAAGCATGATGTCCCTCTCCAAGGACTGGTCCCTCCTTACAACATGTCCAAAGTATGTCAATCGAAGCCCCAGAATCCTTGCCTCCAAGGAGCAGCCCAGTTTAACCCTCTTCTGGACAAACTTGTTTGTTCTCCTAACAGGCCATGGCACATTCAATACTCTTCTCCAGCACCACAGCTCAAAGGCATCAATTCTCCTTCTGTCCTCCCTAGTCACTGTCCAACTCTCTGATACATAGCAAGTGATTGCAAAGACCATGGCCTGTCTCAGGTGCACCTTAGTTTCCAGAGTGACACTGATGGGAAAGTTAGGGCTAGCGCATAGGGTGATGAGAAACATAAGGTCTACCCATCCTACCCCCCTAAAGGTTCAGTCACCCTATCACACCCACTGACAGCTACTCCTAGAAGCAAGGTCACCTTGGTGACTGGCCGCTGACACATGAACAAGCCCCGCAGAGACCACCAGGACAGCCAGCTAAGCAGATCACAAACTGCTCATTCACAACATGGTGAACTAAACATTCTTCTTACGTTAGGCCACTACTTCTTGAGTGAGCTCTGGTGGCCTAGTGTGGTAAGAAGCTGTGCTGCAATCCTGAAGGCGAGCGGTTCAAATCCACCAGTTGTTCCACGCGAGAAAAATGGGCCAATGTCCTCCTGTGTGATGAACTGTTTCTGAACCTGCCAGAGGGTCAGCTATTGATCGGTTCTGACTTGATGGTACACAACAACAACAACAACAGTAGTTAAGTATGGGGGATGGGGAACAGGGAGGAAAATGTGCAACAATGAATGAATGGAAATCCAAGTTCTTTATAAAATTTCATTAAAATATAAAAATAATTAAGTCGTTTTCACACAGTAAAGCTAACTGATAACTACTGATTATCAGGGAAAGAGAAGACTTAGAACTCCTACATCCTCATGGAGATCACTGAAGGGTGTTTTTCCTCTCACTTTGCCCTATCTCCCTCTGGGATCTGAACATCTCCTTATGTCCGGGATTTAAAATATCATTTTCATTTACTTCTGTGGTTAATACACAAAATTATTGTTGTCCTTGGATGTTTCCTGAGCAAGCTCAGCCCTTCATTGTCTGATCAGATCATCCCAACTCCAGAAGAGCCAGTGAGCAAATGAAGAAGCCCTTCCTGCAGGAGACCCATTTCTGGAAAGAGAAGCTGCTGTGATGTGCCGTCAAGTCGGAAACCACTCATGGCTGACCCTCCAGCAGGTCTTCAGAGGCTGTAAATCACATGGAATAAGACTGTCCAGTCATCTCTTTTTTTAAATTTATTTTATTATTTTTGTATGAGTGTACCGTCAAATCAGATCTGACTGGTACAGGAGGAGATTGCCCCTCCTTCCCCGGCAGAGCATCTGGTGGATTCGAACCGTGCACCTCTGGGATTGTAGTTGCAGCTTCTTGCCACTAGGCCACCAGAGCTCCCCTCCAGTCATCTCTTGAGGAGCAGCTGGTAGATTCGAACATCCTGCCTTTGGGTTGCCAGCGCACTTTCTAACTAAAGAGGCCACTATCAGTGGCAAATATCTAACAAGCAGCTGCCAAGATGTTAGGGTTTATGATGGATCTTTCATTTAGCAACTCTCTTCGGAGATTAGAATCTGATGCCTCCGAGACGCAGCTTAAGGATTTGTACATCCAACAACTTCATCTGGTGTCTCTAACCCTCAGGGAATTTTGGTAAAGCCAGCCTCTGAGAAGCCCTTTCAGACTGGGCAGGTGCTTCTTGTTGGTGTGAGGTGCCATTAAGTTGAGAGCACTCACCTGAGCCTATGACCAGCGGATCTGAATCCTGTCCTGTCCTGCTCCCCCGACCACGCTGGCATCCTTGAGCCCATGCCTGCAGTGTCAGTCCATCGTGCTGGGGGTTCTCTCTTTTGCTGACCTTTCCAAGCATAATCTCGCTTTCCAAGGAATAACCTCTCCTAACAACATGCCCCGTGCATGTGAGATGAAGTTTCACCTCTTTGCCGCTAAGGATCAGTCTGGCTGCACTTTCTCCAGGACATACCTGTTTGTTCTTTTGGCAGCCCCTGGGACACTGAGTACTCCTCCCTAAGACGGTAGCTCAAAAGTGAGGAGAAACGGTTGCAAACATCCATCAATAACTGGAATGTGGGCTGTGCAAAATATGAATCTAGGAAAACTGGATATGGTCTAAAATGAAATGGTACATTAGGTGCGAGGGAGCATTTAAAAAGCCCCAGTGCTCAGAACATTTAGAACAGAATCTGTAAAGGTGGGGTCCAGGCATCAGCAGTTCTCAGAGCGCCCAGATGAATGCAGTGTGCTGTCAAACAGGACACACAGTGATTTCTATGACTGAGGAGCAGGCAGCTGGCTTTTTCTTCATTTGTATGGAAGTTATCCTTTAACAGCATGTTTCCTCGGTGGCCCTGCAATGGGTTTCCAAGGCTGTAAATCCGCAGGAGGAGACTGCCCATCTTTTCACCTGTGATGCAGATGGTGGATTCGAACTCCCAGCGAGGCTCTGAGGCTCTGTCTTTGGCTTAGCAGTGCTATAGATGAGGCCACCAGAGTTCCCGTGTGATGATGAAGGTGTATTGATTCCTAGGTACGTGAAATGCTGCCCTGAACACGTCTTCTTGGTTTTCTCCCACAACTCAGCTCTTTTTCTTTTTTTAATTTTTATTATTTTTGTGTGAGTGCACCATCAAATCAGATCTGACTGGTACAGGAGGAGATTGTCCCTCCTTCCCCGGCAGAGCATCTGGTGGATTTGAACCGTGCACCTCTGGGATTGTAGTTGCAGCTCCTTGCCACTAGGCCACCAGAGCTCCCCTACAACTCAGCTCTTAAAGGAACCTTACCATTCAAATGATTTCCCAGAAAGCAGCTGAGTTTTCCTTCCTAAGGGAAACTGCTTATATTTGATAAACCACTGTTTGGGGATAAAAGGTTTTTCTTCTTAGTGGGATAAACACTATGAAGAGAAACTAAAGGGCAAGCTTGGAGCATCAGTAATGGCAGTAGATCCTGCTGGGCTCTGTCCATATCCTGGAGCCCTTTGTCGTTCCCATGTCTGGGGCTCCAGGTGTGCGTGCACCTGGGCCTCTGGGCTGGAGAGGGGCATTCAGGCTACTGCAACTGCTGTTCAGGGGACGTGAAGACCACAGGCGCCTGGGAACTCACGTGTCCACTGAGTAAGCAGTCCTCAAGCAATGCCTGGCCAGGCAGCCAGGTGAATACCCTCGTTCTCCTGCCCCGATCAAGGGTGCACCGGTGGCCTCCTGGCACTGCCAACCCAGAGGGGCACTGTTTGAAGCCACCAGCGGCCCCTTGGGAGAAAGATGGGCAATCTCCTCCTGTGTGATTTATTGCCTCTGAAAACTCACTGCAGGGTCAGGTATGGGTCGTTTCTTACTCAGTGGTACACAACAAGAAATTGCTTCCAATCAGGAAAATTCTGAGGCGACCTACTCTCTCCAGGGGAGACAGAACCAGTCACTGTCACCTCATCACCACTATGGGACATTGCTTCATGTCATCCTATTCCTTGGTCCCTTCCGTTACCGGTCCACATTCCCCTACCCTGTTGGCTTTTCTTTGGAAGACTCTTGATAAACCGTATTCAGTGACTCCTCACCTCGGGGGAAGAAAACAATCGTAGACGGCAACCCCCAAGGGCACCCTGACCATGGCCTTCACAGGAGCACTGACCTTCATCTCTAATGCAGAAGGCGCTGTGCACGCCACCAGGAAGTGGACTGTTCTCGATCCGCACGTCAACGGCTCTCAGGCTGTGCTGTTCACCACTCCCCCTGCTACACACAGTTGTTCTGAAACAAGCAAAGACAATCCATCAGGAGAATTCCTCTAGGAAAAAAAAAGATCAGGAAGTGCAATTCTTTTCTGCTATCAGCTCTGTACCAGTAGAGATTTTTCTTATTTAGAAGCTTTAGCTGAAAGTAAAATACTCTCTCTAAATACAAGTGTAACTTCAGGAAGGCATGTTGTTGTTGTGTAGTGCTGCTGAGTGAGTGCTGACTCGCAGCTGACTCTCTAGCGGGACTTCAGAAGCCGTTAATAGCACAGGAAGAGACTGCCCATCTCCTGTTAAGCAGCTGGTGGATTTGAACTACGTGCCTCTGGAATTGCAGGGCAGCTTCTCAGCACTAGGCCACCAGAGCTCCCATGAGAGCACAGGTGATGTTTAAATTGAGGTCATATATATCAATCCACATTTCAGAGGTTGTATATATTAATGGACGTTGAAATAGACTGTAACAGAAAGAAATCATATAAATCTCAAACCTGTAACCACTTTTTTAGCAGTCAAATGTGTGAATTATTTGCACCACCCAGGAATTCCTCTGCATGGTAATAAAATTTGTAAAGTTGATTCTGATTTACAGAGAACATACAGGAGCTATATTCTTTAAAAGGCTAAATTCTTTACAGTAGACTGCCAGGGAGTAGCTGGTGGGTTTGAACTACGGACCTCTCAGTAGCCGAACACTTAAATCACTGTGCCAGGAGAGCTCACTTTCTCTGTACGTTAAAGCTTTATTAATCAATTAAAACCCAACAAATAACTTTCATTAAAGAGTAAGTAGAATCAGTAATCTGTAAAGAACTCATCTTTCGTCAGTTTGTCAGTTTCTCATGGTGCTTGTGGCAATGAAGCAGTATTGAAGTCTTTCCAACTTCAGTTGATGAGAACGACTTCTGTCATCTTTTTGTTGTAGTTGATGTCCTTCTGCTACACTGTAAGTTTTGAATTCTGGGGCACTAACATGCATCAAGAAAGGCAAGGCAAATGCTTACACAGACCAAACATGAGTGCCAATGCAGGACTTCTGCTTTTATTTTTTTTCTACTAGTTTATTTACAAAATTCTAATACAAATAAATGCAAACAAATTCTTTCAATTTCCCTCACCCTCCCATCAAATTGTACAACCCAATGATTAATCCCCCCTCCACCTGCACATCCACATCCCTCTGCTTCCAGCCTCTCCCACCCCTCCTGGATTCTTATACTCATTCTACAATAATGGTCTTATTCAATATTTACCCTTGTGGGATTGGGTTCACTCAGCATAATGCTCTCCAGTCCCTCCCAAGTTAGGTAATAATTTACAAAGTTACTGCTCCTGCATGCTGCATAGTATTCCATTGTGTGAATGTAGCATAATTTCTCAATCCGTTCGTTTGTGGTTGGACATTTGGGCTGTTTCCATGTTCCATGACTTCTGCTTTTAAAGGGAAGGATTCTTTCATACAAACTCTGGAATCCATTTCTCCTCAACTAACATAATGCATCCCAGGATTTGATTCCATGTCAGTATTGGTGACAGAAGACTCTTTCAATGGGAAAGGTTACAACTATGTGTTGAAAAGGAAGCTCTGATGGCCAAGTGGTAAGGAGCTACACTTCCAATTGATTAATGCTTGAGACAGGTGAACCTTATTCCCTAAAGTGAAGTCCTTGCTCATTAGCACTTTGACATTGTCCTTGGCAGCACATTTGCCTAATGTAGTAGTGTCTCTGACTTTTTTGACCATGGGTGTTGACTGTAGGTCAAAGGAAAACAAAATCAATGACAATTTTAATCTTATGTCTCTTAATCGTTATGTGGCTTATTAGTGCAATCATGAGGATTTTTGTTTTATGTTGAGAAGTAATGCATATTGAAGGCCATGGTCTTTGATTGCTTTGAAATAGCATATCATTGAAAAAATACAACAACAGTCTTTGTTTTCTAACTGGAGAGTACAATACGGATCTCTTTGTATTTAAATCTGTCATCTTCTAAAGAGCTTTCTATTAATCCTGCCTGTTCTCTTCATTTGTCTATTTCCTCCTCTTGGAAGGTTTGAATAGGGTTTGTGCTTTGTTTTCTTAAATAATTATCTTTTAAAAAATATATTAGTTTGTATTTTTGTTATGTGCCACCAAGTCATTTACAACTCATAGCGATCCTATGTACAATAGCTCAGAACTCTGCCCTATCCTGAGCCAGTCTCACTGACTCCGACACACCTAATCCCAGTTATCTACTGAATTATGTCCTTCCAAAAGATGTTGTAAATCTTTTTTTTTAATGAATAATCTTTTAATGTTTCACATTTTTTTCACCCCAGATTTGTTAATCAAAAGATGTTGTAAATCTTAGCCCCTATGTCTGTGGTCACAATCTCATTTGGGAATGGATTGTCTTTGCTATGTGTTGTTGTTATGTGTCATTGAGTTGCGAGTTGCTTGCGACTCCTAGTGACCCTGTGTACAACAGCTCTAAACCCTGTTCTATTCTGTGTCAATCTTATTGTCTTTGAAACACCTATCCCTATTACCCCAGTGACGGAATTAATCCATCTCATCAAAGTTCTTCCCCTCCTGCGCTGTCCCTCCACCCTCCCAAGCATGATGTCCCTCTCCCAAGGACTGATCCCTCCTTGTAACATATCCACAGTATGTCAGACAAAGCTTCAGAATCCTTGCCTCCAAGGAGTAGCCTGGTGTCTCAATAGAACAGTGATGGAGCCCCACATGAGCCCTGAGTGAGAAAGGAGTCTACATAGGAACCCCAAGGTAGAAAGGAGCCTCAGATGCATCCCAAGCTGAAAGGGAGCCCCTGTAGGAACCTTGAGTTAGGAAGGAGCCTCATAGGAACCCCCAAGTTAGGAAGGAGCCCCTGTATGAACCCTGAATTAGGAAGGAGCCTCATTAGGAACCCCCAAGTTAGGAAGGAGCCCCTTTAAGAGCCCTGAGTTAGGAAGGAGCCCCATAGGAACCCCCAAGTTAGAAGGGAGCCCCTGTAGGAGCCCTGAGTTAGGAAGGAGCCTCAAAGGAACCCCCAAGTTAGGAAGGAGCCCCATAGGAACCCCCAAGTTAGAAGGGAGCCCCTGTAGGAGCCCTGAGTTAGGAAGGAGCCTCAAAGGAACCCCAAGGTAGAAGGGAGCCCCATAGAAGCCCTGAATTAGGAAGGAGCCCTGAGTTAGGAAGGAGAGCAGGCAGGCTCGCTGACTCACCCAAGGCTGCCATCGGCCAACCAGCCCGTGGCACAAACCGAGAAGGAACAGTCCTGGACCACCCTCCGCAGCTCGTCCGCAGACACGAGGTGGGCACCCTTGCTCCTGCAGGAAAGCCGAGCTGCCTCCAAGGCCAGCCCCTGGGAGCCGTTCTGAGACGCCAGCACAAAGAGCTTCCCTGTGTGGACAAAAGCACAAAACACCAGCTGACTCCAGCATCCACGGGCATGGGATCTCGCAGACTCACTCAGGGCAGACACGGGCCACAAATGTTTCATATTCGCCTACAGACCGGAGTACAATAACTATGCCACCACATTCTATGCTTGGAACAAGGGGTGGCAACTGCATTGATGTTGTAATCCATTTTTTTTATCTTGTTTTCACCTTTTAAAAAGAAAATGTAACCAAATTTTCCCCTTTTAGAAGGTGTTTTACAAACACCATATAGAAAGCCTCATTGCCCCAGGTTCCCCTGGTTTAAGTCACACGATTTCCAAACCACTGATTCGGGCCTCAGTGCTGCCTTCGTCTGCCTGTGAGCTGTGATGCTCGAGAAGATTCCTGAATGTCCCATGAATGGCCAAGAGAACAAACAAGGTCGTCCCAGAGGAAGTAACCAGGGCGCTCCTTAGAGGCAAGGAGGCTAACACTTCATCTCACATACTGTGGGTGTGTTGTCTGGAGGGGCCAGACCTTGGAAAAAGAAAACACGCTGGAAAAGGTGGAGGGTCAGAGAAAGAGAGGTCGACCCTCAACCAGATGGACGGGCCCAGTGACTGTAACAATGGGCTCAAGGACATTGCAGCTGAGATCAAGGTTGTTCACAGGGTCACACCGAGTCACAGCTGGCTTGATGGAACATAACAACAACTATATTCAAGAGCAAGTTTCAGGCTTTTCTAACATCCATTTTGATTTGTCCTTGTCTTTTTAATGACCCTTTGCTCTCTTCATCTATGATGTCCTAATGTCACGCTAACCACCAAAGGTTCTCATGGAACTGGTTTTGTTTCCTTCAACTTCAATTTGAACTTGCACAAGAGTAACTGATATTCTGTTATACTGGCCCCTGGCTTTGTTCTGACTGCTGTCAGCTCCGTCTGCCGATGTAATAAATTTGATTCCTGTGTCTTCCACCAGGTGAGGTTCATGTACAATAGTCATTTATGTTTCTTTAAAAGAGTATTTTTTTATTATTATTTTTGTGTGCGTGTACCGTCAAATCAGATCTGACTGGTACAGGAGGAGATTGTCCCTCCTTCCCCGGCAGAGCATCTGGTGGATTTGAACCGTTCGCCTCTGGGATTGTAGTTGCAGCTCCTTGCCACTGGGCCACCAGAGCTCCCCTTAAAAGAGTATTTTTTTAAATGAATTAATCATTGTGTAAAATTCAGTCGTGCAACAAAAAAATCTCCCAATAGGATTAAGACAATAGCATGACAATAATACAAGAAAATAAAACAAGCAAGAAAAAAAGGCGAAGGGGGAGAAGACTAGAGCAGGGATCAGAGCTGTTGTCCTCAGGGTCGCTATAAGTAGTAAGGGACTCGACAGCACATAACAACAAGTGGCCTTGTGGTAAACCTGCAGTGCAATCCCAGAGGCATGTGCTTTGAATCCCCCAGCTGCTTCATGTGAACAGAGTTCTGTACAGAAATGATGTCAGTCAAAGAACAAAGTTTAGGTCTTTTGTGCAAAACTTACTGTTTGTTGGATTTGACTTGATGACACTTAATCACTGCTAAGTGGAACTAGTGCTTTTCTATCTGGAGGAACACTCTTCCACTTTGTACATCACTCTTTGGCAATGTGCTTTATGAAGTCACCTGGGTTGCTGTGATGCTGAACCTTGTACCACTGGGGTATCAAATACCAGAATGGTTTCCCAATGTGGACAGTGTTTGGTGGAGCTCCCAGTTGTAAAACAGGTTTGGAAGCAGGTGTGGCATCCACTTCCTAAATCACATGCTTCTGGAAACTATGAACTTGGAGAAATGACGACAGTTACAGAAAGACATTAGGTCTTTTCTTCATAGAGTCACTACGAGTCACACTCGACTCAATAGCAATCAACAACAACAAAAATACATAAGAATGATTGAATGAAGACCTGTGAGAAAAAAAACAAACCACCCAACCAAGCCCACTGCTGTTGAGTCTATGCCAGCTCACAGCAGCCTGATGAGATACAGCCCCGCCCCACAGCCCCGCCCCACAGCATTTACAAGAGGCTAAGTCAAAGGCAAAATGTCTCATCTTTCTCCCGGGAGCCGCTGTTGGGTTTGAACTGCTGACCTTTCAGGGTTTAGCCAATGCACAATTCAAAACACACAGGAATAGACTCAACTAAAGGAGAGCAAAACACTTGTACTCTGAAAACCACAATACACTGAAAGAAGTTAAAGATGAACGAAATTAATAGAAAGACCATATGCATAGACGAAAAGTATTGTTAGGATGCACTGCACCTCAAATTGATCTACAGACTCAGTACAATTCCTATAAAACCCAAAGCACCTTTGCTGATACTGAAATTCATAGAGAAATTGAAGGGTCCCAGAATAATCAGGATAAGTTGGAAGAATCACAGGAATCACAGATGGACAGTTTCCTCCCATTAAGAATCACAGCACCAGGGAGCCTAGTGACCTAGTGGCAAGAAGCTGCACGGCAATCCTGAAGGGGAGTGGTTCAAATCCACCAGGTGCCCCACTGGAGAAGAAGGGGCAATCTTCTCCTCTGCCAGTCGGATCAGATTTAACCATACACAACGAGGAAAAAGAAAAAAAATAATAATTGCAGCCTGGGAATTTGACAATCACTCTGAGTCAGAACCGCTCAGTGAGAGTTGAGTTTTGAGTATTTAGAATGGGCTAAATTGTATTCAAATTGCTTTCTAAATATTCACTCATTCAATCCTTATAACAACAACTCTATACTCAGCTCATTGCCACTGAGTTGGAACAGACTCACAGTTAACCCTCTAGTGAGTTTTCTGAGGCAACACCACAGGGGCTTGTCCACATTTCCCCTCAGGAGCAGCTTCTAGATTTGAACTACCCACCTTTGAGTTGGCAGCACAACTCCTTACCCACTCAGCTGCCAGAGTTCTATAAGGTTGGTGCTTCCAGAGAATTATTCTTATGGACGGTGAAAGAGGGGAAGGCCCTCTATGAGGTGGATTGATTCAGTGACTGGGGTAATCGGGACGGGTGTGTCAGAGACAGTGCAATTGGCACAGAATAGAGCAGAGTTTAGGGCTGTTGTACATAGGGTCGCTATGTGTCACAACAGCACATAACAACAACAAGGGTTAGAATAGTCAAGATGGTGCTCTGGTGGCCTAATAGGTAAGGAGTTGTGTTGCCAACTCAAAGGTGGGTTGTTCAAAGCCGCCAGTTGCTCAGTGGGAAAAAGAGAAGCAATCTTTGTGCAGTTTACAGCCTTGAAAACACCACTGGAGGATCAGCTATGAGTTGATTGGACTCAAGAACATGTAAAACATTAACTTGAATAAAATCTCACAGCAGATACAAAACTAAACAATGTGGTACACTTATCAGTGATTGTAACCATTTGTTATCCTACCTACAAATAACAAAACCACCAGAAAAATTCTTTTGTGCATGAAATTATGAGATACATACCTAAGTAAAACATGTGTCCAAAGGAGAAATTGCAATGGAAATAAAAGCATATTTTCATTCAGGGGACAAAAGCTGTGGTGAAAGTAAAGCATATTTAAGGAACACTTATACCCTCAGATGCTTATATTTCTAAGATGACTAGTTGGAAATGTACAAAGCTAGAAGTCGAATGAAAGAAGTAATAAAAGATGTAGCCAAAAAAATAAATGAAATTGAAAGCAGAAAAACCATGAAGAAAATTAACAAAATGGCTTCATAAAAAAATAATAAAATAAATAAATTATTAGCAAACCTGATCAGGGTAATCATTATGCAAATTACCAATATCAAGACTAAAAGTGGACATTATGGATTCTACAGGCACTGAACAGAGAAGAGATCATGATGTCATATATTGAATATATTTGACACCTCAGAGAAACTGGACACATTTCTTTAAAAGCAAAATGGACATAAAGTGGGCTAAGAAATTATTAATATTCCTTTATCTGCTAAATAAGCTATTGAAAAATCTGCCTATAAAAACTTGAGGCACAAGTGGCCTCACTATCAAACATTTTAAAGAGAGGAAAAAACCAACAACAAAACCAACAAATTCATCTTACAGGAATCCTCTGAGAATAGAAGGAATTATAGTCATCAGAGCTATCAACAACTGGCAGGACCAGTCCAAGAAATCAAAACCATAAGCGAAGTACTTCATGAACCTACAGGCAATAATCCTAACGCGGTTTCCGTCATTCCAGGCTCAGCGCTAGTTCTTTTCTTCCCACTGTAAGTTCTACCTTTATCGTCCTCCCCGTCCATGCTCACAAAGACCCCATCCAGGACAGATGACTATGACTCATGATTTTCCCTTCAGCCCAGATCCCTTCGGTTCACCTCTCTCACCTGGACAACTCAAACAGTATCCAGTACAGAGTGTCTCTCTCTCCATGCAGATGTGCTCCAATACCACCCACTTTCCTGCATGGCAAACCAAGGCGATGTTTTCAAAATGCAAATCCAAGTGTCGTTAGGTCTTCCTACTCCAGTGCTCCAGAAATACCCACTATACAATCCTAACTTCACAAAAGCTTGAGCCCTTTTTCTCTAGCCGCTCTGTCAATCCATCTCACTGAAGGGCTTATCTTTTTTAATTTTGGTTGGACTTTCCAATTTGCATTTAAAATACTATAGAATAAGATGTCTTTCCCCAGGGATTGTCCCCTCTTGATAACTTTTCCTAAATCACGTGAGACAGAGTCTCCCTATTTATGCTTATAAGGAGTGTTCTGTCTCTATTTTTTCCTAGACAGATTTCTCATTCTGCCAGTCAACATTCTTCACAATCACCTTAATTCCGACGTATCAATTCTTTTCGGTCTTCCTCATTCATTACCAGCTTTACCATGTATATGAGGTGAATGAAAAAGTCATGGCTTGAATTAGGTGCACTTTAGTCTTCAAAGTGACATCTTTGCTTTTTAACATTTTAAAGAGCTGTGAGAGGGAGCTCTGGTGACCTAGTGGCAAGAAGTTGCACTGCAATCCCAGAGGTACACGGTTCGAATCCACCAGATACTCTGCTGGAAAAGGAGGGGTAATCTCCTCCTGTACCAGTCAGATCTCATTTGACGGTACACAAACACACAAACACACACACACACACACACACTAAAATTTAAAAAAAATTTAAAAAAAAACAACCACCAGCATTTTTTTTTAAAAAAAGAGCTGTTAGAAGCAGATGTACCCAATCTGTAATGTGTCATTTGATTTTTTGACAGCTGTTCCCATGAGTGTTGGCTGTTGATCCGAGATTAAGGAAATTCTTGACTGATCAGATCTGATCAGTTTCTCTAGGACTTGAAACCATTCAACGACTTCATTTGCTTTCCTGGATGAAGACAAAACGTGGTCTATGAGGTCTACGTGCCCCTCAGCCAATTTCTCTAGCATTACCTCGAACCACGTTCAGCTAACACCCTCAGCTCCAATCACTCTATCATCACGTGCCCTAGTTCTCCCACCACCTGCAAGGTTCTCTGTGTGCGTGTGTCCCGCTTAATCCCTCTCCGCTATAAAATTCACTCAACTTTCAGATCTTCCTGCACCAAATGCCCTCAGAACACTTTCCATCTTTTAATCTCCTCACTTAACCAAACTGTCATTTCAAGTTTTATTCCTTTAATTAGTTGCTTAAGAACTCTCGCCTCTCATTGGATTTTAGGTTCACTGATCGCAAAGACCTGTTTCTTATTTTATCCTTACCAGTAAGCTACAGTATGGATGGTGAAGAGTTTGAGATAGTTAACAGTTTTAGTTTGCTTGGCTTCATAGTCAACATTCTTGGTACCAGCAGCCAGGAAATGAAGAGACGAATTGCATTGGGAAAGTCAGCTGTGAGGGACCTCTCAAAAGTACTGAAGAGCAACAACATCAGGCTGGAGACTAATGTGCGCCTGATCCAGGCTATAGTCTTCGCAATTATATGCTATGCATTGGAGAGTTGAGCAGTGGCTAGGGATGATAGAGAATTGATGCCTTTGAGCTGTGGTGCTGGAGAAGAGTGTTGAACATATCATAGACTGCTAGGAGAACAAACAGGTTTGTCCTGGAGAGGATGAAGCCAGGATGTTTCTTGAAGTCAAGGATTCTGAAGCTTCGTCTGACATACTTTGGGCATACGGCATGGAGGGACTGGTCCTTGGAGAGGGACATCATGCTTGGCAGAGAGGAGGGACGGCGCAGGAGAGGAAGAGCCTCAATGAGATGGATCGATTCTGTGATTGGGGTGCTGGGAATGAGTTTGTCAGAGATGGTGAGGTTGGCACAGGATAGAGCAGGGTTTAGGGCTCTTGTACATAGGGTCGCTATGAGTTTCAGTGACTCTACGGCACATAACAACAACAGCAACCAGTAAGGGCAGTACCTGGCATATGAGAGCTACTCAGTAACTATCTGTTCAATTAACAAAACTTCTATAGTCATAACAGTGCAGGTACATTCAGATAATGCAATGATTTTTCATCTTTAAAAGTATGGAGATACAAAATGCACGTCTAATTGTTGTTATTAGTTGCTGTCAAGTCGACTGTGACTCTTAATCACCCTCGGAACATCAGATCTGAACCCTGCCTTATCCTGAACCATTCTCAGCACCTCTGATGTGCTCAAGCACTGTTAAGAATCACTGTATCAATCTTATAAAACTAGCAGGTTTCTAGTTGGAATTTTTTTCCCTTTGACTTCTTTTAAAGACATTTCTCTCCAATTAGATATTTTCCATTATCTGTCACATGTCACAGTATAGCTGAATATTTCTTATTCTCCCACCCATCCTGTTCCAATCCTAAATGCACACAACTAAATATGAAAAGTATGTAGAAACAAATCCTTCCATGATATCCTTACAAATTCTTATACATATCTTATCGAAACTGAAACTCAGCAAATGCAAGTTTCTTGAAAGGAAATCTAACTCTACTTCTCCACCAGGAAAGGAAGAAGAGAGGACAGGAGGCATTTCTGGCAAAAGAGAACAAGGAAGCACGTGCTCTCATACTGCTGCTACTTTCTTTTTGTCCTATGATATTTCTGCGTTTAATTTTCTACGACCCACATCAATAGACAGAATGTACTGACCACTATTTGACAGTCATTCCACTCAGTCATAATGCGTGAAGTCCGAACGCCTCAGGAAGCATACAGATGGTTGGTTCTCCAAAAGGAATTAGAGTTGGCTCAACAGCATATGTAATTCAAGTTAATAACATCTCAATTTATTCCACTTGCCATCTTTAAAATTAGTTTAATTTTCACAACTCAGTACCAAATAAGAAAAAGGGTGAAAACCCACTCAAACAACAAATCACTATGATTGCTAATAAGTAAGATGGTTATTTTTGTTTATTACACCTCCTCCAATGTTCTGAAATAATGGTCATGATTGCACATGATCGTGAATATACTAAAAGCCACTAAATGGTGCATTCCAAAATAGTGAATTTTGTATTACTTGATATTTATCTCAGCTTTATTAAGCAGCAATTAGCAGTGCCTTTACCAAAAGAACAAGAAAACAACACATCCTTAATTAGCAACAAAGAGCTCTTTAGCACTTGGGACAATATCTGTAATTTTTTTCTTGTTTTCTCCCTTTCCCCAAACTATCACACCTCTTTTTGTCCTATCCTCTAGTTACACCCAACATGGTTAAGTAGGAAAGACACCTTAATATCCCTGTTACAGGTCCAGGGCAGAGAGCTCTTCCCTCCAGCCACCCAGCCCGTCCGTCCGTCCATCCGGATTTGGAGTCACAGGAGCCCCTCGTGGGTGTGAGAGTGCCTGGCTCCGAAGCTGCTGGCCTCAGACCCTCCAGCACCAAGTCAACGGGGTTTTGTTTCCAAATCAAAACACAGCTGAATTCGCTTTTCTAAGCTGAACTGATGCGGACTCTGGTCTTTTAAAGGAATGATTAAAAGCTGAATGCAGCTTCAAGTAACAACAAAAGGGGGGGGGGCAATTAGTGATTTTGCAGTAAACTAGCCCCTAAGGTCTCCCTCCTCATCTCCCAGGGTATCTCCACCTTTACCCTTCTTTCCAATCACTGGCAATTTTATTTCCCATTTCCCCTATTATTCAGGTTTTTTTTAAATGTTATTTTTAACCGAAGTTTACAGGAAGATTGACTGGGTTTTCATTCATTCATCGTTGCCCACTATGCTCCCTCGCTCTGCCCGGGTTCACTCTGTAATGCATCTCTCGTTTCTGATTGTTAATTGCCATACATTTAATGTCTACAATTCTCGAATGTCTTCGTCCCTTTTCCCAAAACACTCTCCCCTCTGTCCTTTGCCTCTTTTCTTCCTATTCCTCTTTCTGATTATGCTGAACTAAATAAAAATGTCTGAAGCAATATTCTAAACACTGCCTTGCCGTCCAGAAGCGCATTCATTTACTACCCATTGAGATAAAAGAGATGGTGGAAGAAGACATCTCTCCAGTGCAGGTTCGAAGGCACCCCTCGACGTGACTTCATTTTAAAGAGTTCCCGGAGTTATCACAGAAGCTAGCGCCTGCAGCGCGCCTGGCGTGGAGGGAGGGTTCACGATATCGGGGTGGGGGGCGATGGGGCGCGGGCACGGGGGGACTTGGAAGGGCTGGATCAGAGCGTGGGGTGCAGGAAGTCGGCTCGCCTCGTTCCCTCCCAGGCTCTCCAGTGGCCGCGTGTTTTGGAGCGAGCAGCCCCAGCTAGCTTCGGATCCCCCGCGCGCCGCCCCGGACACTCACCATCGGCACGCACGGACAGGCGAGCCAGGCCCAGCAGGAGCAGCGCCGCTGACCACAGAGCGAGCAGGCGGCTCGCGGGGCCCCGGGGGCCGGGGGCGTCGGCAGCCATGGCGCGGGCGCGCGGGTGCGGGTGCGCTCCGGCGCCCCGGGAAGTGGCCGGCGTGCGCCCCTTGGCTGCGCGCTGCGCTCTGCTTGGCGAGCCCAGGGGGAGGAGCGCGCGGAGCCGGGAGGCCTGAGCTGCCGGGGCCAGAGCGCTGAGCCCCCACGAACTCCCGGGGGGGGGGGTCTCCTTCGTGGCGCCGGGGAGGCGGCCGCAGACGGGCCCCGCCTTCGCGTTGGGCACCTGGAGGCCTTGCTGCCAAAAGGGGCCTCGGCGGGGCGCGCGCGGTGGGCGCCTCTGGGCAGAGGGCGCGGGTGCGGGAGGCGGGGAGAGCAGGCGACAGGCTGCGGGGCACCCGCGCGCCCCGAGGTCCTCCCGAGGTCGTGCGCCCGGGAAGCCGAGCCCCTCCCAGAGGACTGTTAACAACTGCCCTCTGCTCCGGTTTGCAGCTGCGTACCTCCTGAAAAGGAGAGTTTAAAAAAAAAAAAAATTAAGAAGAATGCTACTTCATTGAAAAACAAGGAACTCATGAAATATTAGGCAAAATGGATGACCTTGGAGGACATTATGCTGAGTGAAATATCTCAGTCACAAAAGGACGAATATTGCACAGGGCCACTGTTGTAAAATGAGGCTGACATCATGGTTGAGGGAAGACAGAGAAGGAGGGAATCAATGACGTTTACTGCCTTGAAACAGAGGAGGAAGAGATTAAAAAAAGAATATATGATTGGGTATTTTTGTCATGACAGGAGTCCAGAATGAAGGCTGCACAGTGGAGTGGACTTGGGGGGAGGGATTGTATAACAATTAAAGAGTTTTTCTTTTCTTTTTCAAGGAGAAGCGTGAATGGGGGGAGGGAAAGGGGCTGGGCAGGAAGAAAAGTGCAACAATGAATGACTGGAAACCCTAGGTCTCTGTAAACTTTCATTAAAATTAATTAAAAAATTAAAAAGTGAATACATAAGAGCTATAAAAGACTTGGACAATTTGTTTTTTAAAAAAAGGAAGAAGAAGAATGCTACTTGCGGACCACATTCTAAGGAGTCAAACGCATGGGAAGAGCAAAACTCCACTTCCCTGAATAGGGTTCTTGAACATGGCTCAGGCCCCAGGTAATGCTTCCTTTACTCTTCCTGGTACCCTTGTTATTGTTGTGAGGTGCCACAGAGTTGAATTTGTGCTCATAGTGACTCTATGAAGAATGGATCTAACCTTACCCAGGATGCAGGCACGGTCGTCACCATCTCTGATGTATACGCTCAGGCCCATTGTTACCAGGACTGTATCAATCTGTCTTGTTGAGGGTCTTCTGCTTTTTCTCTGAACTTCCACTTTTCCCAGAAGGATGTCATTTCCCAAAGACTGGCTCCTCCAGATGTCTTGTCCAACATATATGAGATGAAGTTTCAGCATCTTTGCCCGTAAGGAGCCCCCTGGTACTCTTAGCATTCCGCAAAGAGAACTGATGGAATTGTTACCCCTCAAAGCTAGCAGTTTGACCCTGAGGCAACCTGAGTGATAGTCTTATTCTGGTCTTAGGAATCAACACCCTTTTAAGTGTCTCAACAAAGCCTGCTGCACAGATCCTTGCCCGCTCACCCCAAGCCTCTATCCTCACCTTCAGCCTTATTCAGTGGAGGAGAGGGAATTTACATTCATCATTGTTATTGTCATTGTGTGTCACTGAGTTGTAACCAACTCACAGCTGACCCTCCAGGGAGTTTTCAGAGGCAATACATTACCTGGGAGGGGGTTACTCATCCTTCTCCTGCAAAGCATCTGGTGGCTCTGAACTGCGTACCTTTGGGATCCCAGCGTGCCTCCATACCACTAGACCATCAGGGTTCCCATTCTTCACAGGTGGAGTAGTAATCAGTATTGCTGTTATGGGGACAAGGGTACCACTCTAGTATGTACAAATTCCTCTTTTTCCCCTCTCTCTTTTTTAATAATATGTGTGTGTACTGTCAAATTGGATCTGACTGGTACATGAGAAGATTGTCCCTTCTTCTCCAGCAGAGCATCTGGTGGATTCGAACCACACACCTCTTGGATTACAAATCCCTTTTATATTAATGTAAACTCATTGTCTGACTCACTGGGTCGGAACTGACCATAGCTGACTCTCCAGCGGGTTTCTGAGGCTGTAAATCAGGAGATTGATTACCCATCTTTCTCCCACAGAGCAGCTGATCGATTTGACCAACCAGGGAGGTACCACCTGTGTGTTAGCAGCACAATTCCCTGATGGAGAGGGGCCCCCACAGCTCCCTCAATTTAGGACTGCTCAACAAATACCTACAGTGTGCTGGTTGCACCTTCTCTCCTGTTGGATCTTGAATGATCCTTTAAATGTTCTAGAAACGGCCCTACTCCAGTGTAGAAGAGATTGAACAAAGTGCCGTATGCTGTGTGGAACAGATGATCTCCCATTTCACGAACTTAGAAAGACATATTGACAGACTTAATTTACCTACTTTTCTTTTTCGAGCGTGAAAACTGAGAGTAGAACCCTCAAATCTACCAGATGCTCTGCTGGAGAAGGAGGGGCAATCTCCTCCTGTACCAGTCAGATCCAATTTGATGGTACACACAGAAAACATAGTAAAATAAAATTTAAAAATTTTTTTTAAAAACCAACTGAGTGTAGAACCCACATCTGACTTACTACAGATGTCATTTTTTTTAAGTTTTTGGGATGCATGAGGCTGTTACTAATGACTAATTCCTTTGGAGAATAAAACTTGGCTTTTTAATTCCAAATAATTCTAGGTGTTAAGTACAGTGAGTCTTGGAATCATTCACACATAAGTATAAATTCATTTACTTCGCTGCTTCCCACATAACAGCTAGCTGGTACCACAAGGAGTGAGACTTCACATGTCTGGGATGAAGGGGACACTTTAGAGTGAGTCAGTGTGGAGAATAGAGGGGAGGTGTCAGAAGGCAGGGCCAGGAGCCACCAACAGACTCGCTCACAGCTCCAGCGCTGTGCCTAGCAATGCTTCTGTAAGGGTTCATCCACTACTCCCGCCGAGGTCAGTTTGTTACCATTGCTCTAACAAAGCAGCACAAACAGGATGGCTTATCAGAACAGAAACTGATTGACGCTCTGGAGGCTGAGATCCCAATGCGGCATGTCAGCCATGTTTATCCCAGAAGACCTGTCTGTGGTGGGGAAGAGGCTCCCTCACGGGAACTGTGATGATTGTAGAGGAATAAAGTATGACAGGGGAAAGAGGGTGTGAAGAGACAGCCTAATCTCTCCTTCTGGGAGCCCTGGTGGTTAAGCTCTCAATTGCTCACAGGGGGTTAGCTTTACAACCACAGCCCGAGCTGGAGAAAGATGGGGCAGTTTGTGAGTTGAAGCTCTATCACTTTTGCCTCCAAGAAGCATTATGACTATATTTGCTCCAAGACATATTTGTTTGTCAACAGCGATATGATGGGATTGAAAAGACCATCACTTTTCTTAGTCTCATGGTTGTCCTCAAGGTGACTTCTTTATAGTAGAGTTTCCCAGGACAATGTGCCATTTAATTTTCTTTTTTTTTTAAATTGCTGCTTCTAGGGTATTGATTATGGATCCAAGTAAAATGAAATCTTGGACAACTTTACTCTTCCTTTTAAAAAATTTTAAAAATTTATTTTAATGAAAGTTTACAGAGACTTTGGATTTCCATTCATTTATTGTTGCACACTTTCCTCCCTGCCCACCCCTCCCCCCAGTTCGCTTTTCTCTTTGAAAAGTAAAAAATAAATTCTTTCATTGTTACACAATCTCCCCCCCACTCTGTCCACTCCACTATGCAGCTTTCATTCTGGACTCTTGTCATGACAATAATACCTAATCATATATTCCTCCTAAATAGTTCTCTCCCTCATCTGTTTCAATGCAGTATACATTATTTATCCCCTCTTTTCTTAGTTTCCTCCCCACCCCGGTGTCAGTCCCACTTTACAACAGTGGCAGCATGCAGTATTTGTCCTTTTGTGACTGAGATATTTCATTCAGCATAATATCCTCCAGGGTCACCCATTTTGCATAGTATTTCGTGAGTTTCTTGTTTTTCAATGCTGCATAGTATTCCATTGTGTGAATATACCACAGCTTCTCTATCCATTCGTTTGTTGATGGGCACTTGGGTTGTTTCCAGCTCTTTGCTGTTGTGAACAAAGCTGTGATAAACATGGGTGTGCATATATCTTTTTTTGTATTGTATTACTGAGTGGTCCAGTTCATGTAGGTGCTTCCTATTGGTTGAGTCACTTGAAAGCTTGAGAGCACGAAGCATAGTAGTTACGAACGGTAGACATCATTCTCCCAGGTCCCAGCAAGGCAGAAAAAGAGGGATACGTGGATCTGGGGAGGTAAACAGAAAGCAGCCAACACAGTCCATTTACATAGTCATCTTCTTTCATTTGGGTACAATAGGAATGATAGTAATGACAAACTTGAAAATGCAAAATCATACCAACTTCCGTATTAGCTGAGGCTGATATCAACTCACTAATATCTGATTCAGAGTCTAAATTATCAGAGGCTCAGATTTTTCCTTTTTTAAAGGAATATTATTTAGTATTGTGAATGCTGCAGTTGCTGTTGATTGCCTTTGAGTCGAGCAGGACTCATGGTGACCCTTTGGACAAAAGGCCTGAACCTCCTCTCCAACTATCGACACTTATCAAAGTTCATAGAGTTTCCGGAGGCATGTTGTTTAGGAAGTGGATGCCACTCCTGCTTCCAAGCCTGTCGTAGTATAGCTGAGAGATCAGCTGGCCCAGTGAGCAGAAAGCGATGCTACCAAGCCAAAGGTGGGTGATTTTTAAGCCGCGGCCCTCGGGCCTGTCTTTCATTGGTTTTGTTCAGACATTCCTCTAGGTCGTATAGCCCTGGTGTACAAGTTGCCGTCCCACAGTCACTTGTGGTTGCTGTGAGGCTGAACACTGTGACACTGATGTGTCAAATACATTAATGGTTGGCTACCCAATGCGGACAGAGAGTGGGGTGGAGCTCTCCGATTAAAACAAGCATGGAAGGAGGAGTGGCATCCACTTCCATAATAGCTTGCCTCCGGAAACCCTATGAACCTGGAGAGAGGATGAAAGGCACCCAAGAGTCAAGGACTCTCCTTCATAGGGTCGCTATGAGTGGCCTGCGACTCAATGGCACTTAACAACAACAACATGTGCCATTGAGTTGTCTGCAACCCTATGTACAGCAGCTCTTAGCAAAGCTAATATAAATCAAAAGGAGAGGCCTCTAGTCTGCACTTCTACCTTCTATACATTCT